AGGAGAAATTAGAGATTATGTTAAATAACATGAAGAAATATTCTCTTCTTACTCAAATTTATATACAAAAATTCTAAATGTGTCTCACAGTCATAAGCATTTATAAATAATTAATAGATCATATTACATTTCCTTGCAAGTCAAGACAAGGTCACAATGAAAGCTTGCTTATTTCTCTTTAAATGTCATTCTAATTAATCCTCTAATCTTGGTAGGTAAAGTGAAACTGTCCATTGTCTTACTCTGCAATAAATCATTTATACCTTCCAAAATAAAAAGATAGAATACTGAAAGCAGCATGAGAAAAAGAAAAAGTCACTTTCAAAGGAAAAGCCATCAGATTAAGTTGTGATTTTTCAGCAGAAATCATGGAAGCAAGAAGACAATGGGAAGGCATATGCAGAAAGTTGAAAGAAAACAATTGCCAACTGAGGATCCTATACCGAGCAAAGTTTTCCATCAAATATGAAGGAGAAATAACATGCTTTGCAGAAAAGAAAGAATTTGAGGTATTTGTGAAAACAAGACCAAATCTACAAGAACTTTCAAGGGAAGTCCTATACACCAAGACACCAAAGGAAAGTGGATGGACCATAGTAATAAAAAACAATAACAACAACAACAAAAAGAAACACAGAAAATGGCAACGATAAAAACTGGCCTGTCAATAATCACACTTAATGTGAATGGACTAAATGCACCACTCAAGAGAAAAAAAGTAGCAGAATGGATAAAAAAAAGCTCAAAGCCCATCAATATGTTGTCTACAAGAGACACATCTAATTAATGAAGAAAAAAGACTAAAAATCAAAGGCTGCAAAAGAATATAGCTCACCAATGGCCTCCACAAAAAAGCAGAAGTTCCAATAGTAATCTCTGATAAAATAGACTTCAGAATGAAAATCACCATAAAAGATAAGGAAGGGCACTATATAATGCCCTTTTAGGGCATTTTAAAGGCACAGTAGATCATGAAGACATTACGTTAGTCAACATCCATATACCAAATGACAGACTTGCTAAATACATAAAACTGTTAACAGAATTGAAGAAATAGCACAATACTGGTAGAGTCTTTAACACACCACTCTCAACAAAGGATAGGTCAACCCAAAAGAAACTTAACAAAGAAACAGATGACCTAAACTACACAGTAAGCCAACTTAATACTCAATTCACTTTCTTCTCAAGTGCACATGGTACATTCTCCAAAATTGATCACATATTAGAGTGCAAAGCAAGCCTCAACAAATTAAAAAAAATTGAAATAATACAAAGTATATTTTAGACCACAATGCCATAAAACTAGAAATTAACCACAAAAGGGTAAAACTTATAAAGCCACAAAGGTGGAAGCTAAATAACACCCTTCTAGAACAAAATTGGGTTATAGATGAAATATAAAAGTCTCTCAAAACAAATGAAAATGAAAATACAATGTACCAAAATCTCTGGGATACAGCTAAGGCGGTCCACAAGCAAACACATAAAAAAATAAAGAAGGAAGAAAAATTAATGATGTGAGTCAACTCCTTCATCAAATAGAAAAGAACAACAATCTAACCCCACAGCCTGTAGAAAAAAGAAAATTTTAAGAAGAAGAACTGAAATCAATGAGATAGAAAACAGAAAAACAATTGAAATTATCAATAAGACCAGGAGGTGGTTTTTCAAAAGGGTCAATAAAAGGGACAAACCATTGGCAAACCAAACAAAAGAAAAAAAGGAGAAGACACAAATAACTTGAATAAGGAATGATAGAAGTGACATCACAACAGAACCAGAGTAAATGAAATCTATAATATCACAATATTATGAAAAGCTATACTTTGATAAGTTTGAAAACTTAGAGGAAATGGAAAAATACCTTGAAATGCATGCCCTGCCCAGAATGACAAGGTCAGATGTAGAACAACTGGACAGACCCATCACAAAAGAAGAAACTGAACAGGTCATAAAAAGACTCCTCCATAAAAAGGCCCTGGACCAGATGGCTTCACAGTTGAATTCTACCACACATTCAGAGACATATGACCAATTATATTTAAGTTATTTCAAAAAATAGAAAAAGATGGAAGACTCCCGAAGACCTTCTATTAAGCAAACATAGCCCTAATATCAAAGTCAAGCAAAGATATTACCAAGAAAGAAAACTACAGGCCAATATCTCTCATGAATATAGATAGAAAAATCCTTAACAAAATCGTAGGCAATAGAATCCAAAGCACATAAAAAAATCATCATGACCAAGTGGGATTCATAACAGGTATGCACGCATAGTTCAATACAAGACAAACAATCAGCATAATTTACCACACTAACAAAGCCAATAGCAAGAACCATATGATTTTATTAGTTGATATAGAAAGGCATTAGACAAAAACCCAACATCCATTCCTGATTAAGACTCTCAGTAAAATTGGAATAGAATGGAATTTCCTCACATAGGGTGCAGCAGGCCGACCACAGCAGCAGGCTAGCCGTTTAAGATCATTGACGTCATTGCACATGCGCGGTCCGCACTTGCACACCGCCATCACAAGATGGCGCCGGCACCTTACTTCCTCATTGATTTACTAACGCACAAACAACATCATTTATGGCTGCAATATTGCTATTGGTCCATTGGACCTGGTTTAGAAAGACCTCAACACCAATGAGATTCTAAGACGTAAGAGCAGGAGGCGTGGAACCGAGAGGGATATAAGCAAGTGCTGGGGAAGAAGACGGGGCCATTTTTCTGTTCAATAAAGCTTCTGCAACGAATCTTGTTTGTCTGAGTCTTCTTCGGCTGCTGGCGGCGAAGTTGCACTCGGCAATAGGGAAAAGTATATATGCAAAACCAAGAGCCAATTATCATTCTCAATGGAGAAAGACTAAAAGCATTTTCTTTGCAAATAGAGACCAGACAAGAATGCCCACTGTAGCCATTCCTATTCAGTACTGTGTTGGAAGTACTTGCTAAGGTAATTCCTTAATTAATTCGATTCAATCAAGTAATTAAAAAATAAAAGGTATAAAGATTGGCAAAGAGATGGTTAAACCATCTGCTATATGCAGATGACATGACAGTGTACACAGAAAACACCAAGGAATGAACAAAAAACTGTTAAAGCTAATAGACCAATTTAGTAGAGTGGCAGGATATAAGATCAATCAATGTCCAAAAAGTCAGTGGGATTCTTCTACAGTAACAAAGAGAACTCAGAGAAGGAAACTAAGAAAGCACTACCATTTACAATAGCCAACCACAAATTGAGATACTTGAGAGTGAACCCAACTAGAGACACAAAAGACCTATACAAAGAAAACTACGGATCATTTCTGTGCGACACAATAAAAGACCTAAATAAATGGAAAAATGTTCCCTCTTCATGGATAGGAAGACTCAATATGGTGAAAATGACAATCCTATGAAAGCTCTACCTGTTCAACGCAATCCCAATCCAGACACCAAATTCATTTTTCAAAGAGATTGAAAGGGAAATCTGCCAAGTTTATTTGGAGAGGAAAGACACCACAAATAAACAAAGCCCTTCTGAAAAACAAAAATGATGTAGGAGGAATAGCACTCCCTGACTTCAAAACCTACTACACAGCAATAGTAGCCAAAACAGCATGGTACTGGTACAATGACAGGAACATAGACAAATGTGAATTGAGAATGCAGAAATGGACCCACCTATCTACAGTCATGTGATAATCAACAAGGAAATCAAACCTACCATATGAGGCAATGACATTCTCTTCAACAAACGATGCTGGCAAAACTGGACTGCTACCTGCAGAAAGCTGAAACAGGATCCACATCTTACACAATATACAAAAATCAGCTCAAGGCGGATCAGTGATCTGGGAACAAAGCCTAAAACCATAAAATTCTTAAGAGACAAACTGGGATCAAGCTTAGAAGGCTGACTATAAAGAGACTTAGAAGGCCAAGTATAAAGAGACTGCCAAATACAGCCAGAAATGCACAATCTGAAGAGGACAAAATTGATGAATAGGAACTTCTAAAGATTAAATCCATGCACATGCAAAAACTTCTCCAATAGGGTAAAAAGGGAAGCCACTGACTGGGAAAAAGTATTTGGTAATAACATATCAGATAAGGGACTT